GCTAAAAACAATGACTTTATTTATATAATTACACGTGTTATTGTGAGTCAACCATAAAAGATAGACATATGCTGTTGCGGGATATTTTTTAGACAATTTTATGTACAATATTTCCGTCATACATGATTTCTATGTAACTTTAACCATTAAGGCTGCACTCGCGACGGAAGCTTAAAAAATGGAGTAACTTCGCCCGTTTTCCCAAAATTTCCCTTCACTAAAAAAATCCACGCGGACCAGGCAGCAGATGGGAGTCGAAACCGCACCCTTCGCAATCCGGGCGAATGCACTGACCAATTATGCTACCGCGGCCCTCGCGGTCCCGTCTGCTGCCTGGTCCGCGTGGAATTTTTCCTAGTTATATTTTCATTAGATTTAAACATCAAGCAGTTACATGCTTTAAAATTTTAAATTATAACTATAATTGCTATTTCTTCTTTCAAATGTTTAATACTTGTAAAAGTATTCATTTGACATTGTGGGTTACCTATAATGCGAAAAGATGGCGCTGCCTTGCTTAAGAATGGCTAGAGGAATTTCGACGCGGTCCGTGAGGGCCGCGGTAGCATAATTGGTCAGTGCATTCGCCCGGATTACGAAGGGTGTTGGTTCGAGTCCCGTCTGCTGCCTGGTCCGCGTGGAATTCTTTCTAGTTATATTTTCATTACCTTCATGTTATTACGTGTCGGGATAAACTTCGAAATTATATGATAGTTCACGCTTGACAGTACTTTATTCACCACACAGTTTACTTTAACACACAATGTTAATTACAATACACTCACTAAACACTGTACTTCACTATACAAGCCTTTAAACATTCGAACTTGAACACTTAACTTGCACTTTGATCGCCTTTGTATTCGTTCCGTAATCGCTGTTGAAACTCAACTGTCTCTGCGCGTTTTTCTTTTGTTTCCTCTCAGGCGGGGAAGCGGGTGAGAAATCCTCATGGATACCCTATAGCCGGCTGTAGGGTTATGGGTTGCCAGGCCATAAAATGCAAAGGCCGGACTGCGCACTATATAAGGCCTGACATTTTGCCCTAAAAGCCGGACATATTTTTTTTATTGCTTTCTTTACAACAGACTCAATAGAAAATTAGATTTCTATAGAGGTGGTTCGTGGTCGTGTAAGGGAAAACTTGTAAAATACCTACAAGCACTTACTTATATAGAAACTGAACAATTGTTGCAGATTTTATCATAATACAATAATATTTACTCCCCCCCCCCCCCCCCCACACACACACGCACACACACACACACACGCACACACACACACACTCATACTCACACGTATACCTACATACACACACAAACTGCCCATAATTAGTCGATGCTTACCTTACAAACCCTTAGAGTATCATTGTCTAGGTGTAATGTTATCTGTAAACAATGGGGGCCTGGTGACCTGTAACACGGTTCTATTAACCTCCACGGGCACCAGTCTCCCACGAATGACGACATGATTATAAAATTCGCCTAAGATTTTGTGTAAACCTTTTTTGTCATTTGTGGTGAGAAATAAAGTTATTTTATTATTATTATTGCCAAACATAATGTTTTCACAGCGGGGCTGTTGAAAAAAAGTATTTATACGTGATGTAAAGTGAGAATGAGATCGAAGTGCCAAGAGTTTGTTCTCTTGTCCGTTCGGACGTTCGTCCGCCCATCGTCGTACGAATCGCCACTCTGATAAAAAGCCTGACAAAAGCCGGACAGGCCAAACACGTACATATTTGGCCGGACGCGACCGCAAAAGCCAAACATGTCCGGCTAAAGCCGGACACCTGACAAGCCTAGTTATGTCAGACTTTTACTGACTAAAAAACACCCGTTAATCATGCTTATGGCCTGAAGGGCCTTACAAGCTTCATCTGAAGCGATCATCCCCTGAGAGGGGGATGATGCGGGTCTCTGCGCGACGCCGATCGCCCAGCACCCAGGAGTGCGTTGTACCAACTTATTCCTACATAGGTAACGCGCATAATTTGTAATCAAGTGCAGTCCCCGTAGCATGAGCACCACAATTTACATTGTATCATGTTTTTTATCGCGTCTAACTGTCAAACTCTATAGTAATTTGACACTTGAGCGTGATAAAAACGCGTTATATATCATATCGCGGTGACAGCTAGGGGGGCAAATATCGTTGCACTTTCTCCCTTACGCCGTACTGCATAAGGTTCATATTATATTGAGCCGCACCACTCAACCTTTATCGCGATCCGCGGTGTTTTCGCGGTTTTGTTTCGAGAGCGATTGTGCCAATATCATAGTAGCTAAAAGGGAAAACTGCTGAGGGTAGTTCGTTCCAGATCTTGCTGGTATGCAAGAAAAAGTAATGCGCATAATGCATGGTGCTAGAACGCCAAGCGTCCAGATGGCGGGTGTGGTGCAGTGAATGGAGGAACATGGCCGCTAGCCCCAGTTTAAACAATTCCTCGGAACACTCGCCATTGTATAGACCCCGCGCAAGCTTAGAGGCTTTGAACGAAGACATTCCCAAAGATGTCCACTTTTATCGGTCCAGCACTGCCCGTATCCGGTGGTTTCCCGCGATCTTTAAAAAATCTGACGACGACGTCCAGGCCCATTTTCCCCAGCAGTGCTGTGAAAATTTGACAGAATAGCACTGGAGGGCCGTCTTTAACTATGATCGGACCCTTGGGCACACAAGACTTTGGGGCCCTTTTGGAAAGTAAGGAAAGTCAATAATCAAGGTAAGTTTTTGCACTATGCTTCGCCGACGTGTTAACTGAGGGTTTAGTCACTCGCCACTCGTAAAGAAGTTATACTTCTTTAGGCGCGTTATGAAAAAATGATGAGAGTGAAATTTTTAGATGCGCGCGCATCACTGTAACCCAAAAGTAACAGCATGAAGTTGGCCGCGGGCGCGTTATGAAAAAATCATGTGAGTGAAATTTCGAGATGCGCGCGCATCACTGTAACACAATAGTAACACCATGAAGTTGGCCGCGGGCGCGTTATGAATGTTAGTGTCTAATAATGGTGGATTATTAACCACTTAGTGGTTAATAATCCACCATTATTAGACATCTGTTCGAAAGGTACTTTGAACGATCCACGGAGCTCCATAAGATGATCGCGTTGTCAAAAACAATGTTGGCACGCTCGTCGCCTCTGATCACTGTTTTCATATTTATAATATTTATCCACATGTTTCTAGTTTCTATATAGACACAACGTGTTTTAGTTACTTACAAGTGCTAATTACATATGGACTAATAACTTAAATTCAGTAGTGATTTTAATTGAATATTTTGAATATTTATTTAATTTTTCAAATTAAAACTGAACTTAATTGACTGTGTTAACTATCCTTTTCCAGTCCTTTTATTATTTTATTGTAATTATTAATTATATGCATGCAATTAAAAAATATTTTTAATGATGCTAAAGAAGTATAACTTCTCACGCGCGTACATAAGTTACACGCATCCATTTTTTTTTTATGTTAAAAGAGGTGCAACAAGCTTATGCTTGTATGCCGCCACCATAGTCTATAAACGCTTGCGAGACCATAAATACTCGCATCGTTGCTTACCCTGACCCAATCCCGTGGAGCCTGGAACCTTACTCACCGACAGAAACACGACACCACCAAAAGGTAATGTTACTTTTCTGTGATCTACTGAAAGGTGGAGGTTACATCCTTAGACGGGGGCTCCAATTCAAGCGGGAAATCCGCTATGTCCTACCTCTTCCAAAATGATGATGATGATGCCAAGGATCTTGACGATACTCCTAAGCAATTATATCTGTTAAAGCATTTAAAAATCATAGCGGATTAAAGTTATGAACATAGTTATGTACATTATATGAGCCCTTAGTACGAGTTTTACAATTACGAAAGCTATGATAGTTTTTCCCAATCCGCAGTGGGCCCGCGTGGTGGGTCATGGCTCAATCTCCCTATTCCATCCATAGGGAAGGCCTGTGCCCCAGCAGTGGGGACATTAATAGGCTGATGATGATGATGATGATGATAGTTTTCGTGAGCTCGCACTCGTACTAAGGGTACTTACTGATTTTATTGTTTTCGTTTCAATACAAATAAACAGTGTTTAAATTCTATCATTAAATCATTTGCGTCTTCTTAAATTTTGAGTGTATTTGGTAACTTTTCACCAAAATGGACATAGAAACATAATTTTCACAGTGTTACCAAACCTTACCAAAATTTTACCCTAAGTATTTTTTAAATTCCCCTAAAATCCCCTATTTATAGAAATTTATGTTTACCTACTTATCTTATTACCTAAATTCTTTCGTTGCTCATAAATTAAAACGTTACATATTTAGTTACAGTAAAGTATTTTATTGAATAAATACATTTAACCAATGGAAAATCAAACGAAAATGAGCTGACAGGCTGTTAAATCTTATTTAGCTGTTTTGATTGGTGGAAGGCAAAGAACTTTAGTCCATACAGCCTTATTAAACAATCTGCCACACAGTCAGTTCAGTCGTTCCATGTCGTTGTGCGTTCCATTCTACGCAAAAACTGAAAGAAAACACACGCTTTGTTTTTCGATTTAATTGCAAGTTTTGTTAAAAGCCCCTAAAAGAACCCCCAAAAAATTCCAGCCCCTAAAAAAGTCCGTTTTAACCGTTCTAGCCCCTAAATCTGGGGGCAAAACCCCTAAGTTGGGAACCGTGAATTTTCAATTACGAAAACTATGATAGTTTTCGTGAGCTCAAACTCGTACTAAGGGTACTGATTTTATTGTTTTCGTTTCAATACAAATAAACAGTGTTTAAATTCTATTATTAAATCATTTGCGTCTTCTTAAATTTTGAGTGTATTTGGTAACTTTTCACCAAAATGAACATAGAAACATAATTTTTAATTATGAAAACTATGATAGTTTTCGTGAGCTCAAACTCGTACTATGGGTACTTAAAACAGTCATCTCCATTTTTCGAGCGGTCGTATAAAATGGCAGTGCACAATCTCTGCGAGCTTACTTATACTTTTGACTTGCCGTCAGCCAACGTACATATTTATTTAGTAAAATTCAGGTCTACATTTTTGTACAAACATGAACTCGTGATGAATCTTGTCCGTACTAAATGTATTTCATAATTCGAAATAGCAAATAATAAAATTAAATACTGTTTGGTTGGTGTTTTTAATTTTTTTAGTTCTGTCACTAAAACTGGGTGTTTAATTTAGAGATTCTCGTATAAAAAACGTAAGAACTTTAACGATTTGGCAAAAGTTAGTGCCAGTAAAAGTATAAGCTACAGTGATTTTTATGAAGTGAAACTTTGTAATAAAGAACTCTGTTTGCAAAACATCTATAAACGCTTGATAGATCTATTTCGTTCGCGTCTACAGATTTGCAGGTGAGTGTCTTCACGTCATGATTTTCATGTTATTATGGCAGATTTATTTATTGTACTTCGTAAGTTGCACTATAGAATTATAGACTAATTTTGTCAATGGCCAAATTATATAATATCATTTATTTATTGTTTATTAGCAACACTAGCATTGCGTTAATCATACATGGATATACATATTTTATATTGTTTATTTACTTGTTAACACAACAATTATAAGTGTTCACGTCATTCATAATTATGATGTAACAAATACAATTTTTAGGATTGAATTTTAACTTATAATATTACATATTAAATAAAATAAAATTAAATAAGATTGCAATTATTACATTTAACCAAACAATGCTCAATGAATAAATTAGAATTTAACATTTAAATTATAATACTAATAACATTACACAAAAAACAGTCTTTGTCACAGATTACACAACTTCCGTTTGAATGTTGACAAAGTATCACAAAATACATCAATACCAGCATTTCTCACACATAGTTCGTTGTATGTTTTAACCATAAGTATCATAATATATGTATATAATAAAACAAGTTTTTAACGGTATAGATGCATTAATTTATTTATTTAGAGACTTTTAGCTTCCTTTTCAGGAAATGCCTCGTCTGAATTATGGTAAATAGGTCCTGAAAAGGACGCGAAACGTCAATAAAAAAAAATCAGTGCATTCATACCTGATTTCATTCCGATTCATATCAGAAAGCGTCACTTTGGCAGTTTTGTTTTTCTTGTTAAAAATTGTGATGTGGCGGATGTTAGTGTCTAATAATGGTGGATTATTAAACACTAAGTGTTCGGGAACATGCACAAATGTTGGCAAGTGAAACAAAATAGCGGAAAGTGTCTTTCGACGTTCCCTCAAGAAGTCACGGGGAGGTTCCAGTAAATCCCCACACATTCACTGAAACATAGGGAAAGGGGGATTGACTTGACTGCCACTTTGACTTGATATAATACTTTGACCACGAGTGCTATAGAATTTGTAAATATTTTTAACACTTGACATTGGCTAAATGCACAAGCCGTGCGAAGCCATTTAGGAAAAAAAAAACTTGTTTTATTTAATGAGTGGTGCGCGTGCAATGGAAGGTGACTTCAGACGTATCTCTGAAGTCATTTTTCAACTTGACGACTCTGTATATAACAATACAGGGAGAAAAAAACAGCCCTTGCTGAGTTTCTTGCCGGTTCTTCTCAGTACAAGGTCTCCCGCCGTAGTTTTGCGAACCGATGGCGTAGCTTCTTGACCTTCACAAGTGCTTGTAACAGCCTAGACTGAATAAATGACTTTTCATTTCGTTTCATGAAAATGTAAGAAACAAATATATGTGCATAACGTTAGTATGATCTTTAAATTTTATGCATACGTACAAACTTGAATGTTTGAGTAGTCGACTGATTTTGAGTTTACGATGTAGCTTTTATAGTAAATACACTAGTGGACCGCCCCGACTCTTTGCCGGTAAAAAAATAATAACGGGATAAAGTAGCCTTCGTCGCTGGAAAAATGAAGCTTTTTACTGGTGAAAGAATTTTCATAATTCGGGACTTCAGCTCTACAAACAAACTCGCAAACATTATGATATTACAAGCGCCGCCCGCGACTTTGTTCGCATTAGCTTTACGGTTTTGAGGATCTCATAGAAACCTAAACTTTTTATGGATAATAAATATTGATATCTATGTCTCAATCCAGTTTATACAATACTCGCGGCCCGCCCTCGCTTCGCTTCGGTGTAGAGCTGAAGTGTAGACTATAGTTTTTGTTCTCAATCTTGTATTATACACAATGACATTCTTCTTATACCTAATTACAATAGACACGCGCCGCCAAGCGCCCCGCCCGGTAGCGTCGGAACTGCTATGTCCCTGCATTTTAAAATCTGTAATATCTTCGAAAATATTTATTTAAATTACATGCTTTAGGGGCCATAATTGGGGCCAAATTGATCTGTATTAAATACACAATGTATTTAAGGTACTTGATTGGTTAAGGATGAATGTTATATTGCTGAAAATCGCTTCGTAAATAAGCTATTACTTCACGTAGAAAGTATAGAATAAAAAATAGTTATTGTGGGTTATCCCTAAGAGATAGACATATACCATCGCGGACTTTTTTGTAGACCTTTTTAAGGTCTAAAATACTGTAGTACATTATTTTGATCTATCTCGTAGGGTTCAGCCAGCGTTTGCAATGTAAGCGCATAAAAATGTAAGTATTTATTTACGAACTTATATTAAAATCTCTAAAATTATCAGTGTTTCTCTACTATATTATGCATGTATTATACATATAAACCTTTCTCTTGAATCACTCTATCTATTAAAAAAATGGGTGCGTGTACATGTAGGCGCGTGAGAATTTATGCTTCTTTGGCATCGTTTAAAATTAGTTTTTAATTGCATGCAAATAATTAATTACAATAAATTAATAAAAAGTCTGGAAAAGGACACAGTCAATAAAGTTCAGTTTTAATTTGAAAAAAATAAATAAATAATCAAAATATTCAATTAAAATCGCTACTGAATATAATTTATTAGAACATATGTGATTTGCACTTGTATTGAACTCAAACACGTATTCCGAATACACAAACTAGAAACATGTGGATAAATATTATTAATATGAATACCTATAACTGTTACTTTATTACAAAAAATAAAGATGTGGTTTTTGGTTCTACTACACCAATGGTCAAGAGATGGCGCTGTAGTCTCCTGAATCGCGCTTTGGTTCCGTTGTTCCATGCTGTTACAATTTTGTGTTACAGTGATGCGCGCGCATCTTAAAATTTCACTCTCATCATTTTTTCATAACGCGCCCAAAGAAGTATAACTTCAAAAACCGCATCAAAATCCGTTGCGTAGTTTTAAAGATTAAGGCATACATAGGGACAGACAGCGGGAAACGACTCTGCTTTATACTATGTAGTGATATACACATAACAAATCATCCAGTTCCGTTGAGTATTTTTTGCGTACACAATGGAGTATGAAACATACAAACTTTCAAAATTATAATTTTGTAATAGCAAATTTATTCTACTTTAAAATCATTTTGAGAAGATAGGTAGGTACTATCGAAAACTAGCCATAAGGATTATAATCGCCAAAATCTGCAAAAGAAACGCCGAATCTTTCGAGGTTTTTTCGATTTTTGACAAAGTTTCGTTCGACGCTCGGGGACACAAACTTTTCAAAAATTCAAAATTCAATATCGTTTATGCAGTCTAGGCTGTTACAAGCACTTGTGAATGTCGAAAAGCTACGCCATCGGTTCGCAAATCTACGGCGGGAGACCTTGTACTGAGAAGAACCGGCCAGAAACTCAGCGAGGGCTGTTTTATTGCCCCTGTATTATATACAGACTCGTCAAATTGAAAAATGACTTCAATATGAGGTAACTCATAAAGTCAGTTTCCATTGCAAATGCAAATAATATAAAAATTATGACTAGAATAAAAAAAAAATGTAAAAAACTGGTTTAACGAAGTTTAGGAATGCCGTGTCCTACTGTTTAGGAAAAAAAATAATAATGAACAATTAAACTTTGATTATAATACCACAAACAAGTTTGAAAAAAAAATCAGAACTACCGGATTTGAGGCCAGCCCTCATGAATATTAGTATTTAGTGGGTTAATGGCGCTTGGCTGTCATCTATTGAAAAGACGTGGTGTTTTTGGGCGTTTAAGTTGAATGGCGTCCTGTATTTTGTCTGTCAAATAGGTGTTTGTATACAGATTGCATGGTGTTTTTAAAGTACCTATCTGTCTCGTAAGTTTTTATTTTGTGACAACAGTTTCGTCCGGTTATATTTTGTAAAATCAAGAAGAAATCTCGTTTACGTGCCCCGAATTTTACAAGTAGTGACAGTTTACTGCTATGTGATATTTTATACAAATATATAAATACTAGCAAACCAGTGAACCAAATGTTCACCAAAACCTGATTTAAAAAATGTATTTAATTAATTGAGAACTTCGGAGATTTTGTGTGGTTCCGTTTAAAATTATTTAGTTAAAAAAAAAATTAACCTTTAAATAGTTAATTAAAATTGTGATAATTACAAAATAGAAATCACGTGATTTCTCGAAAACCGGAAGTGCTACGTTACTCAAATCCGGTTTGTAGTCTTATCAGACTATTCTTAACTTATAACTTAAACATTCTCTTTATCTATCTCTTACGGTTTGGCCGCTGAAACAGCACCACAGACAGACGGACGGACGGACGGACTAGTCTAATAGATAAGAGATTATTGAAAATAAAAAAAAAATACGGCGCTACTCTTCTTCAAAAACAAAATTTTGGCAGGATATGTCGGTCAAAAAATATGTAGGTACTTACTTATATTACAGTCGTAAATTTTTTCGTCATCATCAAAAAACAAAAAGTCATCCATCATTCAGCAATGAATATAATATAATGATATCTCTATAAAAACAAACAAAACTAATAACAATTTTGACGTTTTAAATCTCGAGTTAGCAATTTAACCCTACAACTTTGGCGGGTTAATTATTTTATTATTTAACCTAAACTTTAGTGTTAATTCATGGCAGTGCAAGAAAAAATATTTTTTTAACCCCATTTTAATAGTTAACTCGGAGGTAAATAAATTAACCCTGGAACGTGCAAGTGGGCCTAATATTACAAAGCTGACGAGTTTGTTTGCATGAACGCGCCAATCTTCAGAAGTACTGGGCCGATTTGAAAAAATATGTTTGTTTTGGATGGTACATTTATCGAGGAACTGTATAGGTTATATAATTTGAAGATACCGAACGGAGCACTAAAGATAAATGTTGCAAAAAACGGGGAAAATATGCCATTTAAAAACTTTTTCCGTTGCGTGCGCTGTGTGAACGGTAAGAAAAATCGTGTGTGAAGGAATTGTTCCTGTTTAAAAAAGTTCTAAAGGATGACCATGGATAAAACCAAGGTCATGTTCAATGTCCATGTCACTCCAGCACCAGTATCTG